AGCCCTGCATCCCAGGTATAAATCCCACTTGGTCGTGGTGAATGATTTTTTTAATGTATTGTTGGATCCAGTTAGCTAATATCTTGTTGAGGATTTTTGCATCCATGTTCATCAGGGAAATCCAAGCAGGTGATTTTTAAAGTTCTTTTTGGGTTGTCCTTGATGCAGTGGACTTATGACTTTTCAAATGCCATCTACTATACTTCTTTGGATAGCAGGGACAGAGATGGTGAGAGTAAGACTCAAGCTGGCTTAAATGAATCTCAAGCAGCTCAGATGATGTTTCAGTCTCTCTGCTTTCCCAGGCAGGCTCTCCTTACATTACAGCAAGAAAGCCCATCTGCAACCCCAAACTCCCCAGCTCCCCAGCTCAGTCAACAGGAGAAAATACCTTTTTTCCAGTTGTTTCAGCACGTTCCCAGGTGGACTCTCATTGGTCACTGGTTGGGTAATGTGCTTATCTCTGTACCAATCAGTGTGACCAGCTGCATAGGCTGCTTGGATTGGTCAGCCTCTGCCCATACCTGAGGCCAGGTGGCCCCCAGCAGAATCACATGGTTCTAAGGTGATGGGGGGGGGGGGGGGGGGGGGGGGAGGGGAAGGAGGGTCATGGCTCCAAGGATTGCCAGATAAAATACAGGCCGCCAAGTTATATATGAATTTCAGATAAACAACAAATTAATTTTTTTAAGTTTAGTTATTTTGAGAGAGAGAGGAGAGAGAGAGAGTAGGAGAGGAGTAGAGAGAATCCCAAGCAGGCTCCGCACTGTCAGCACAGTGCCCCACGAGGGGCTTGAACTCATGAACTGAGAAATCACGACCTGAGCCAAGATCAAGAGTGTGACGCTCAACCAACTGAGCCACCCAGGCTCCTCAACAACAAATTAATTTTTTAATATAAGTAAATCCATATAATATTTGGTAGATATTATACTAATCATTTATTTTTCTGAAATTCAAGTTTAACTAAGTGTCTTGTATTTTTAATTGCTACATATGGGAACCATGATGGCTCTCCCCAGAGCGATCAGGGAGCTGTTGCCAAAGAAGAAAGGGGTCTGTCGGGTGCTGATGGCTGACCACCTGCCAGCCCCAGTCGTGAAGGAGCCTGGGCATCTGAGGGCTCAGTCCTGCCCGTCTAGAACACCTGGGTCCTTGGCTGGGACGGCAAACAAGCTGGCCTCCCATTAAGTGCCCACAGTGCACCTGTGGGGGAAGGAGGTGCCAAAGACTTGGTGCCACTGTGGCCAAAGGCAGCACTGTCAGGGATTGTGTGTGGAGGGCCCAGGGGAAGCCAGGTTTCCCAGCTCGGGGCCAGGCGAGTCTGCAGGCTGGAGTCACAGTTCTTGGTGGTTACCACATTTACTCCTAGGACTACTGCTTTTATTATGAGGGATAGTTGTCACCACTGTTATTATTTGTTGTTGGCATCAAATAATGGCTACATTGTATCAAACACCCCATGCCAGGCGCCAGGCCAAGTGTTTTGTAAGTCTTATTCCATTTAATTCTCATAACCACGGAGTAAGTTAGTAAGTTGAGACTCAGGGAGGTGAAGTCAGATGCCTGAGATCACTCTTCTAGTATGTGACAGGTAAAACTCCAGCCTCATCCTCTTGCTGCCAGCGGTCATAAGAATGCCGGTCCCTTACAGGAGCCCAGGGTTTTCGTCTTTACTGTCTCATCTGATGCTGTGGGGGTGATTTATTTCTTCAGCTCCTGGCTTTATTTTCCTCTGTGTTGATGTCCCACTCAAATAGGTTCTCTCCATGTGCTGCTCTTACCCCAACAGGTTCCAGACTCCATTCTGTCCGCTGAGCAACTTCAGTGGGAGAAAAGCTCCCCTTTCTTGTACAGTGTCCCAGCAAAAGCCGCGAGAATGAAGGCCATTGGGTCGGCCTGGGCCACATACTCATCCTGAACTCAGAGGTTCTGCCCGGGATGTTTTGCAGCAGGAGTAGGAAGGGTGCTCCCTGCCCCCAGAGCTCTGTGTGGACGTGTGACAGCAAGGCCAGGCTGATGGGGGGCAGCGCCACCCCTGCTCGTAGGGCAGCCTTGAGGGCCAGGGTGAAGACGGATGACACCCCATCTCCAAAGCAGGCTCTGAGGCAGACAGACAGGTTCCCCTCATCCCTCCGGACATGGAGGAGAGGAGCTCTGTCCTGTTCCCACCCTGGGGCCATCAGAGACTTTCAGGGCTGAAAAATTAGGCTGGCAGGACCCAAAGTGCCCAGAAAATAGCATTCTGTAATTCCCATCTTTACCCCAAAAGGGATGGTAGGTTACAGACAACGGAGACTATGAAATTAACATTCACTGTGCACTTGCTATGTGCTTCACCCGCTGCTGTATCTCGGTGGCTCTTCAAATAACCCTGAGTTAGGGACCACCATGGCTCCCGTTTTTCACATTAGGAAAGGAGGCTCAGAGACTTGACGTGACTTCCCCAAGGTCACATGGCTGGGAGGTGGCAAAGCCAGGAATCAAGCAGCTCTTACAGACACTGGCACAGAGGTCACCCCAAAGAGATTTCCACTTTCCACAGCACATTTCACCTTCCAGGCTTCCGGCTCTCGCTTCTTCGAGGCAGGAGCCAGGCTCGATCCCTGCCAGGGACAGTCTGTGATCCACCACATGAGAAACCAAAATATTTTTCTTGGTGCAGACTCACAGTTCTTTCAGGGCCAGCAAAACTGGTTCCGAGGATGTGAGGACAGAGCGCATGGGAACCCCTGGATGACAGAGCCAGCGCGACACCTGCCCCGGCAGCCCGGAGGGGCTGGTTCACGAGGGGCCGTGGGCGTGGCGGTGCCGCTCCCGAGAGCCGGCACGAGCCGGCGGACCCAGCTGGGGCCAGGTGGTGCTGCCTGCCTCCCGCTCCGTGGTCAGGACTGCGGGAGCCACGGTGCCAGGGACTCCAGACAAGCCCCTTACACCTCTCCCACCTCGGTTCCCTCGGGTGTAAGACAGGGATGATACATGCTGCCTCAGAGGCTGTGGAGGGGCATAAGGGAGAGAGAAGTAACGCGTGTCCAGAAGCGGGAACACGCTTCACGTCGATTCCAATAATGGACGCCGAGAGACACTGCCCCCCTTCTCCCTTGCTCACAGAAACCCAGCTTCCTCAGGGCAACAAATCCTGCTTGGTCTAAGCCAGGCTTTCCCTGCTGGAGGGGAGTCTGTCCTCCCTCAGGCAACGTCTGGAGACCTTTCTGGCTGTCACAGCTGGGGAGTGCCACCAGCATCTGGTGCACAGCAGTCAGGACAGCCCAAGACGACAATAGTGCCCAGGCTGAGAAACCCTGGCTGGAGCCAGCCCCGACCCCACGTTCCCAGCCTCCCTTGCAGCCGGGGGGATGCCTGGTGACCAAAAAACAGCCTGTGAGGCCAAGGAGAAAGCTGCGGGGGCCACCGGGGAGGCCTCTGCCTCCACGGTGGGAGGGACCAAGCCCTCTCTGCCTTCATCACCCACCAAAATGCGGATGTGATACCTGCAGCTGCAGGAGTCAGCCCACCGGGAGGAGGCACACGAGGAAAAGGTCAAGATCACCAGGAGGCTAGTCCTGGTCCTGACTCCATCCAGCCACTGAGTCAGTGCCCACAGCCACCACCGTGTGACTTCTTGTTATTGAGAAAAATCAACACCTATTTGCTAAAGTCACTCAAATTACACTATTCTGTTACTTGTGGCCAATTACAGTCTTAACAGATACAGAAGCTACTGGCAAAAACCCTGACAGAATCCACATGATCCGTGAGTTTCAAAACAAGACAAAGCAAAAGCCCAAGTCCTCACCACGGCCTACAGGCCAGTCTGTGGTCTGGCCCCCACCGCCCCTCTGACCTGACTTCCTATTTCCATGCCACTGACCTTGGATGTGCCCCCGGGGCCTGGCCCACACGGGTCCCTCACTGCCATACACCTGTCTGACCTGCTGGTGTGGGGGCTGCCCCTCCCCCAGATGCACTCTGTTTCCCTGGTGCCACGGTCTGACATCACCTTCTCGGTGCCTCTTCCCCTCCTTCCCGGCCGGGTCCCAGTGCTTGGAGCACGGCACACAGGGGGCACCCAAATATTCATGGAGGAAAGAAAACAGCTTTCTTTTCACAATATTTATCAATTCCATTTTCAAGATCGGATCTTTTAGAAAATCATCTGAAAACCCTGCTCTAATAAATAATATACCTCTAATTACAACCCCTTTTTTTTGATTATACAAATGAACCGCATCTTTTTAAGACAAACCCTGTCCAACACTGGGCAGATTTTTTGAGCAACTCCATTCTGCAGAGTTTCTGTGACCCTAGGACCCCAGACCTGTGCCTCTTCTTAATGGGGTGCCCGGGGGTGGGGGTCAGTACTCCACACCCCGCATGGCAGCCACCGTGGCGGCAAGGCGACGGGGCAGGCCTTTGCTGACCTGCCTGTAGTCCTCGGGTTTGCTCTTCAAGAGTGTCCCAATGTTCTGCAGGGGGCGAGATGGCTGCAGGCCCAGGGCGTCCATCACGTTGATCAGGTAATCTGTGGGGACGGGGAGCAGACAGACACAGCTAAGCAGACTGAGCGCCGAGCGAGACAGAGCCCTAGAGGCCTTCCTGAGTGAGAAACAGAGAGGTCCACCCCAAGACCCCCAAGATGCTGGGTGTCCACTCTGCCCCCATCAGCCAGGCCTTTACTCTGAGGGTTTTCCCAAGAGGATTAAACCTACTGTGAGCTCGGCCCAAATTCAGGAATTCTAACTGAAGAAAGGACTGGCCAACCCCACAGCGTCCCCACCACCCAACCACACGCTCAGCTCCAGCTGGACCAGCTGACCTCACCCAAAGCTCTATAGTGGGACTCCTCTGACTTCCTGGCCACACTCCCCAGTGGACCCCACCTACCACATGGAGAACCCAAGGAGTCAGGGGACACAAGAGCTTCTGTGAGCAGAATCCCCACCACAAAGTCAAGGTCGGTGCCTAAGTGCACTGCAGTTCCCGTGCTAACCCCCTGGGGCACCAGTTGAGGCTACATTCCTGAGCCCACCCAGACCACAGCAGTGAGAATCTCCAGGAGATGGTTCAACGACTCTGTCCTCCTAAAAAGCAGCCCCATGACTCTAACCAACACTGGCAGAGCGGGGAAGGAGAAAACTGGTTTCCAAGTTCGGGCTGAGCTCAGCGAAGTCCTTTCTCACTGAGTCTCTGCTTCTTTCCGTCGATGCCATGTAGTCAGAAAGGACAAAATGGGACAAAGCATGTGTCGCCATGGAAGCATGTGTCGCGGCTGGTAACCGAGTGCTGCCCCGACTTCCTCCTTCCTGGGCAGGCACAACCCGGACCTGAGGAAAGCTGCCTACGGCGTTCTCTGGTTCCTCCGCAGACCCCTGGCATGCCCTGCAGAGGCCTGCCGACTTTCCGTCAATGGCGGGGCTCATGTCTTCTCACTGACGGGACCGCAGCTCCAGGCGCGGCCTGCATCTTCCCTGGTGTCTTCTGGAGGCTTCCTGCCCTGCCCTGCCCTGCCCTGGCTGGCTGGCTGGCTCATGTCCAGCCCAGGATGGGCTGCTTCCCAGGAAGGGCGCCAGCGATTGGCCAGGTACCTGTCGCCGCACAAGTTTATCCGTAACTGAGCTCCACTCTACTGGGAGCTAGGAGCTGCATCAGAGTGGCAGCCCACGGTCTCCCATGACACTTCTGTTTGACCAGCAGAGTGAGTCTGGGTTTTGTTTGGATGCTTAATTTATCTTTAAGGTGGCCACAGCCCTCCCCTGGGGTGCTACCCGTGGTGCCACCGCCTGGCAGCTTCACACACCAGCCCTGCCTTCCTGGCTCCTCACCACACTCCTCACTGTGTGAGCTCAGTAAACCCAGGGATGGCCGAAAGCTCCACGCCCTGCAGCTGGCACGCAACAGATGCTCCGTCACTGCTGAATGGGGAACAGGATTCAGGGGGACACGAACAGAGAGAGAGAAATAATAGGGGCAATGCCCACATCTCACTAGTTCCGGCACGTTCCGTCCTCAGTGCTTCTGTCTGTACTAACAGGGACCACCTATAAGCCCCTGAGTCTCCTCATCCGTCTTCCCTGAACACTGTGCCCAGTGACGTGGAGAAGGGCTGGCTGTTCCTCTGTAACCGCTGAGAGTTGACGGTGGAATGAAACCAGGACACCTGGATTCCGGGCCTGGCTCTGTCACTAGTGGCTCTGGGACCTGGAGGAAGGCGCCTCACTTCTATCTCTTCTGCGGCTTGGCCCTGTGGTCCATCCAGGTCAAAGCTCTTCTAGGTCCCCAGGGAGCTGATGATCTTCGAGGCTCTTACCACCCTCTCCCCACCACCCCGAGAGCTGCCTCAGGTGAAGAGCAGACAGGTCAATGGAATGATACCAAGAGAGTGGGGAGACTCCCCTCCACCTGCCTGCAGCACCCCAGTCTCAGAGCACCACATCCTGTAGGGATGGGTGCCGGTGGGAGCAGGTGGACACGTGCCCCTCTAACCCAGGGGGCAGGCAGGTATCACGGCCTCGAGGTAGGTGGCCTCGTTATTCAGCACGACGGAGGGGGAGACCTCCGTCACATGCCAACCTTACAGGGGAGCTCTGAACGTGAACATGGCACCGGATGTGGGTATGAGGGCTCGGCTCAGTGCCTGGCATGCCTGGTGCGTGGTGACAACATTGGTTTGGGTGATTATACAAATGCAGCAGCAGAAGACAAGGCAGCACAACACACGTTTGTATCGCTTACTTTGAGTCGCCTCACTGAAGCTCCGCTTAACAGCGCTCAGCCTCGGCAGCCCATCAGGATCCCCCAGGACGTTTGTCCAAATACTGACGTCCAGCCTTCAACCCAGACTCACAAGGCCAGAATCCCTGGGGGCCAGGTCTAGAGAATCTGAATTTGTAACACGCTCCACAGCCAAGCTCAGAGGTGAAGTCAAGGGGAGAGCTGGAGTCGACAGATGCCTCGGGCCCCAGCTGTCCCTCCCATCACCCATCCTGGGGGTGGGGGGGAACTCACCGATGTCGGTGACCAGCTGCTTGGTGGAGTGCGGGGTCAGCTCAGGGATCTGCAGGATCACGTCACAGTAGGTCTGCATGGTGGCTCTGGCAATGGAACCCAGCCAGTTATCAGCTATGTTGTCCAGCTCAGGCAGCTCATCCCCTAGGAGGGAGAAAAGGTCACCAGAAGGTCCTGCTCAGGACAATCCCATCACCAACAGCTTTTACCTTCCGAGTGACCAGGCCCACAGCACGTGTTGTATGCACAAACATGCCAGGGAGCTATGGTCTCAGTGGGGAATGCAGGGAACCGAAAACCATCACAACTTAGGTCAACTGGTATCGACTTGAGTGAGAAGAGGATTCAGAAGAAGAAACAGTCAGGGGAGGGAGAGTGATCTCTGTGTTCCCAAAGGCAGGGGACTGGGCATAGCCATGAGGGCCTGGAGGGAGGGCAGCCCCACACCAGCTGAGAAGGCGGGAGAGTGGTCACAGCCAATAGGGAACAGGCGGCACGTCAGGACTGAGACCTGGGCCAAGGCCACCAACCACTGATGAGCTGGGTGCCGCCCAACCTCTCAGAGATGCTCGTCGTCTGCTGTAAAATGGAGGGGACAACAGTCTTGCTGTTCCGGGGCTGCTACGGGAATCACCAGAGGCCTTGGCATGGGTCGAGTGTGTGTGCCACACACTTGGTGCTATGCACACAGTGACTCTTGGTGTCACGCCACTTACGGGGAGGGAGAAGGGGTATGGAGGGGGGTGCAGCAGGGGGCAGTGCTGGGGGACCAGAGCTAGGTCACAGAGGGCTCCCTGAGAACCACGCGGACCCCATGTCGGAGGAAACAGGCAATGGCTGCGGGATCCCAGCAAGATTGCGATGTGACAAGCCCACGTCGGGGAGAGCCAGTCAGGCTGGGGCGGGGCAAGGGGGAGGACGGAGCAGCCATTCTGGCCACACAGGCCTGAGCTGGGGGGTGGGAGGAAGGTGGCCACCTGATAGCAGAAATGGGAAGAAGGGGAGGAAGGAGAGCAACATTAAAACAAACAAAAAAGTATGGGGACGAGCACTGAAAAATAGTACATTTAGGAGAAGGTAAGCAAAGTGCTTCCTCCACCACCACCACCACCAATAATAATAATATAATAATAATACAGAACATAAAGCTGCATGTCAAATATCATCTGTGCAGACAGTGGCGTCCAGAGGGCATGTGGGAAAACGGAAACACCATCATGTTCGATGATGGGACGTCATGATTTATTCTTTCGAACCCATGACCTTGTTTGATATCTAGCATCTATACAACAAGCACAAACTAGAAAGTTAAAAACCAAGACAGGATGAACATAAACAAGCACAAGGACAAGAATGTGAAATCTAGGGCTTCCGCCCCAGAACCAGATGTGATTTTATTCTCACTGTGATACCTTCTTAAGCTGCTGAATCTTTCATATATCACGTGATTTTTCTGTTTGTCCAACCTTATGAAGGAGGCCTATAATATCCAATGTTAGGATAAGATGATTGTTGATCAGAAAGTATATGGTCCCTGTTCAACCTCGCCAGGCCCAGATCATGAGAAAAAGGAAAAGTTTTAATTCATTGTCATTTTACCTTGTCGGTTTAGAGATCTAGGAACCCTGGGGGGTTGGGAACAAGCTGTGGCCAGAGGCATCTGGACAGGAACATCACCTCTATGGTGAAGGGTTTATGTTTGTTCTCACGAGCAAAACTGTTCTGGGTGCCACTGTTCCCAGAGAGAAGGGGCTCGCATTCACCGGATGGGACCCTTGCAGACCCTGCTTCTACCTCCAGTGAGTACGTGTGACCCGGACCTGGGACCCTCGTGCCACTGCCTCCCCGGCTGAGGGGCACTGGTGGAGCCCCTCTCCAGGGACACCTGGCACACGGTGAAGCAGTCAGGACGCCCTGTCCCTAGTCTACTCTGTCCTGCAGAAGTTCCTCGGGGTCGGGGGGCGGGGTACATCAGGTGGACCCCATCTTTCCTGGGTCCAACAACTCTCTCCCAGGGAGTCTGGAGAGGGGCGTGTGCGGGTAGGGGGAGGCCGGCAGCTACAGCGAGCCCCCTCCTCGCTTTCTGGCGGGCCCTTCTCACCTTGCTCAGGAGGAAAGGGCAGCTTCCCAGCATGCAGCGCCAGTTCCAAGGCAGAGTCCTCCTGAGTCACAAAAGGCTCGAGATTCAGGGGGAGGGACATGATATACTGCCCAATCTGAAACAGAAGAAAGCACTTTCAGCCCACACTAACACAGGTAATTATTTCTGCAGTACGTTCGCGTGCAGGCATTTAGGGTGCAGACAAAACCATTAGGCCTGGGGCAGCCCCTGATCTTTCCAGTGTGCAGTAATACTGACTGCTACGACAGCACCTTAAAAAAATCAATGGGAACTTGCATGTATATCACAGATTCATCCTCACACTAATGGCCTCAGTATTTTTGGAATGCATTCAATGCAATCTCTACCTCAAATGAGGTAATAGATACTGACAAGCAATAATAAGTTATTATTACTATTCATAGATCCCAAACCAGTAAGGTGCTAAGGTCAGCAAGTGCATGGCCAAGCAAGAGTTCAAATCCTGTCTCCTGGACTTGGCTGTGGGTCTCTTTTTTAGAAATGTTCTAACTAAGAGAAGAAAGGAATTTTGTTGGGGGAAAAAAGCTACTTATGAATTAACCTGGAGGGAAAACTGTTGTTTGGATAATACAAACTCTAGAAAATAAAGATCAACACCACCTTCTTGGCTGGTGGGGGCTCGTAAAAGACCAGATTACAAGACATTTGGGATGAGCCCACAAATAATACAGTGTTTGTCCTGTGTTTGTCAGACACACATGGCAGTCATCATGGATAGACTTCAGACACCAGTTTCTATTAAAACTCATGCCTGTTTTGGTTTTAAGGTCAATATATGCTTTTGTTTCACAAATGAGGTTGATTTTCAGGTTATCACAACATATTGTTTTTTTTCTTAAATGGCTTTGAGCCTGTTGTTGCTTTTTGGGGGGTTCTATATTTATCCCATACATTTAAATTTACAGTTGATACTGATTCTGCAAAATGAAAGTCCAAGGATTATCCAAGTAAGATTTTCCCCTCCTGGCCTCACACACACCGACACGGTGGCAGACCCCCAAAATCTCCCAGCCCAGAGGGAGATTCCACACATTTCCAAATACTGAATGTGGGCTGGCTATAGTAAGTCTAAACATCCTATGGTCCATCATGCTAACAAAACAGAGTAGTTTGCTCTCCCTTTAAAGAGGTACACAGATGATAAAATTAGCGAAGTCAGCCTTTTTTCCTTTCATTTACTTAGTACAGTCTCTCATTCAAACTAGACAAGTGGGGGGCGCCTGGGTGGCTCAGTCGGTTGAGCGTCCGACTTCGGCTCAGGTCATGATCCACGGTCTGTGAGTTCAAGCCCCGCGTCAGGCTCTGTGCTGACAGCTCAGAGCCTGGAGCCTGCTTCGGATTCTGTGTCTCCCTCTCTCTCTGCCCCTCCCTCACTTGTGCTCTGTCTCTATCAAAAAATAAATAAATGTAAAAAAATAAAAAATTTCAAACTAGACAAGTGGGCCACTTTCCTCACTAATAACAACCATCATCATGCCTTTCAGCTTGCAAATGGCAACGAATTCATCATTTTCCCACAAGGCTGGAAGAAGAAAAGGATGCTATGGGATTTCTCCATTCTGATTCCACGTGGCAGGTACTTCCTGAATACTGACTATGTGCAAAGAGTCCGGGGAGTTCTCCTGTGTTTGGTATACTTCTCACCTGTAGCCATGACCTTCTGGCTAAATCCACACACCCAGCTGTACTTGAAACGAAGCGTCAGGATCACTATACCTCACATCTACGGTGTTTTTCATTTTTCAAAGCATTTTCTCCTATTTTGCCCTATATCATGTTCGTGCGGCTGTTGTGTGGGAGAGGGCATTCACCAAGGAGGCAAAGTGTCACTTAGGTGCCAAATTTCGATAACCTGGTATCTTAAACTTCAACGAGTTGGCTGAGATGGTGGGGACTGCTGTGGTCCCTGGACAGTTCCCATGACTCCAGGTCTCCCTCGGGAGTTCTGTCGACATTCATCTTTTGGAAATCAGTGCAGACAGGGATGCCTACCATCGCACCTGAGGATATTTTTCTACCGTTCTCCCATACGCAATAAATACTCCTTGACATCCTGTTTGGGTAAGCTCAGTGACTCAGGAAAAATGAAGAGCTGGCTTTGTGGTCAGATGGACTTGGGCTTGAGTTCTGGCGCTACCACCGTGTGACCTTCCTGGAGTCCCCATCTCTGACATGACGATGACCTCATACTTACTCCAAAGGGCCGTGTCAAGGGTGAAATTAATGTTGTGATACATGCATAAAGCTCCTGGCGTCCTAACAGAGTGGCCACTGGATAAATGGTTTCCCTGCCCCTCTCTCACTCCCCACAGCCTTGCTGCTGGCCTGTGAAACATTACTGCCAACCAGCTCACATTGTCAAGATAAAATTCTGCCTAGACGGCGCGCTAACTCATGGCATTGATAAAAGCCTAGCACTGAGCTTGCACACAGTGTGGGTTCGATGAGTGTTCATTTCCTGAGTGCAGGTCACCAGCCCCCAGGTACAATCTGTAACTCAGGGGGGTCACGCCAAGTGGAAAAGGGCCCTCCCTTACTCCTCCATGTCTCAGTTTCCTCAGGAGTGATTCCTTAAGATCATTCAATAATCTCTCAAGTCCCTTCCAGCAACATCATTTCCGGAATCAATTTAGATTGTAATGCATACTGGCTCAAGTCTAAAAATAAGGTTATTGCCATTGTTGTGAAAAGCAGCCCACATCTGAATAGTTTCATCAGTAAAGGTTATCAGGTAATGGCCTGGAAAACGGGAGGAAAGTGACTGCCACTTTGAACTGGACACCCTCCCAACCGACAGAGAAAACAATGCCATATTCCTCAGTACTGCTGGTGGGATCACCAGACATTTCTAACCATACAAGGGTCACTTTTAAAATTCCTTTGTATCTCTTACAATAGAGTCATAACTGGCACAGCAGTGGGTTCTAAAATGACAGCATTAGGCAGAGATTGCTTATCCCAGAATCACCCTGGAGAATTCCAAATGTCTCTCAGAGCTGGACTATATTACCTCTACCTAGTATTTGTCATGCACACCGACCTCCAAGAGCAACAGAGCTAGACTGCAGCAAGGAAGGAAAAGGCAGGCCACGTGCAGATGTCTTGGTGACTGTCAACTCCCAGGGGTGAATGGAGGAGAAAAGGACCCTGAACTGCCCCGCTCCTCTGTAGGGTCTATTCTGTTCTTTTTCTAATATTAAACCTCTATAAGTACAATTCTGAAGAGATTTATTTCCTGCTGTGAAATTCCACATGAAAGTATTCCACACAGGACCTGGTGCATAATAGGTGCTCATTAAAATGTCTGCTGAATTTGAATTCAGAATTATATACACACTGTTCCTCTGAAAAATCCAGAGAAGAATCTGGCCACCTGCTTCCTGTCCTCCCAAGTCAGAATTTCCTATGTGTACTCACACTGTGATGCCCTTAGGTACTGGTCATGCCTCACATCGGGAGGTGTATGAACATGTTACATTTTTGAAATCAGCTTGTTTTTCGTCAGTTGATTTAATAAGGAAATCAGCCGCCTTTCCTTAAAGTCCTGGATATGGGGGCACCTGGGTGGCTCAGTCGGTTAAGCGCCCGACTTCGGCTCAGGTCATGATCTCATGGCTTGTGGGTTCAAGCCCCATGTCGGACTCTGTGCTGACAGCTCAGAGCCTGGAGCCTGCTTCAGATTCTGTGTCTCCCTCTCTCTCTCTCTGCCCCTCCCCTGATCGTGCTCGTTCTCTCTCTCTCTCAAAACTAAATAAACATTTTTTTTTAATTAAAAAAAAAATAAAGTCCTGGATATGGATGGAAACTACTCCATCCATAGGAAGCATAGGTCCAGACAGCACCGATGCGGTAATGACTACTTTCCCAGGAGGCCAGAATCAAAAGACAAGGCACGGTCTGCAATGCTATGACTGCCCCTGGAGAAAAGTGCACGGAGCTCTTACATTGCTGATGTACTCGAGAGGGGTGAGGCTGAAGGTGGGCAGATCGTCGGTCAGGGTCTCGCCAATGCCTGCTGTGTTCCAGCTCTAGGGGAGGGAAGACAGAAAGCGGTCAAGGTCACAGAAGCCAGGTGCCACAGGAAAGCACCACATGCCAGAAAATACTTGAAGAATGCACCATTCCTATAGGTGTCTTTGCTCCAAGATGGCCTTGGAAATCGTCACTATTTTACAGATCAGGGACTTCTCTTTAAATCATCACCTTGAGGGGCACCTGGGTGGCTCAGTCAGTTGAGCTTCTGACCTCAGCTCAGGTCATGATCTCACGGTTTGTGGGTTCGAGCCCCACATCAGGCTCTGTGCTGACAGCTCAGAGCCTAGAGCCTGCTTCCGATATCTCCCTCTCTCTCTGCCCCCCACCCCCAAGAATAAATAAACATGGGTGCCTGAGTGGCTCAGTTGGCTAAGCGTTCAACTTCAGCTCAGGTCATGATCTCGTGGCTTGTGGGTCTGAGCCCTGCATTAGGTTCTATGCTGAAAGCTTAGAGACCGGAGCCTGCTTCAGATTCTGCATCTCCCTTTCTCTCTGCCTCTCTCTCTCTCGCTCAAAAATAAACATTAAAAAAAATAATAATAATAAATGTTAAAATTTAAATCATCACCTTGAAACCTGCCACAGAGAAAATAATCCTTTCTCTCTCCCTCTCCCCACCCCCCCTCTGCATTCCTACAGATCCTTAAAACAGGAGCTCCTATCTTCTCAACAGACCTATTTGGTGGGAATGGATCCCAGTTGTTGATCCCACTCAGATTGTGAAGAGCTGTGTATCCTGAGGTCTGAGTTTCTCTACTAGGTGGGCACTACAGGGTAAGAGCTGCTGGGTGCAGGTTGCCTCGCTAACCCCGGGGTCTTCAGCCCCAGATCCTCCACAGAGGATGACATGTAAATCCCTACCTTGGGAAGCCCTTTCTGGCTGCAGGAATATCCAAACCACACTGACACTACTTAACTGCTTTTATCTCTAGCTGTCTTCTGGACTTATTTCTCAGGGATGGAAAGAATCTCCAAACCCCACCAACTGCCCTTCTGTCCTCTTTGTGACTCCTCTGTCATCTGGGGAGATGCTCTTCCTCTTGACATTTCAAGTGAGTACATCTCCGGTATCACCAAGTGAGCCTCCCCAGCATTCTCTCTAGAGTCAGGCACACTGCCAGCACGTACATGGTTACATTGTTCATACAGAACTTGGCACGCCTTCATACAGAAATCTAGTTTCTTCATTCCAGCCTGAGTCACCCCAAAGCCAGCCTGGAAAACAAGGCCCTCTCTGGCTGCGCTCCTGGAGTGGCTCCCAGGTCACGGTGGAGTTGCTCTCCACAGCCACCTGATGCCCGATCTGGTTGCTTGATCCTTTAAGCAGCGTTCCGGGAATGTAATGACCACGTCCACCCCTGGGCTCCCAGCCCAGGCTGAGCCTCAGCCGCCCTCCCCACGTCCCCTAGCACCGGCTCGGTTCTGATTTTCTTTGCTTGAGACCAGTTCTTTTTCCTCCCCACCCCCGCCCCTAGTTTTCTAAGCTCCTAGTTCTTGCTTGAGAATCCTCTTCTGTTTCAAAATAGCCTGCTTTTCTTCAGTTAACTCCCACCCCATTGAGAAGACACACTCTGATCACCCACATGTACCGAGTGCCCATGATGCACAGAGCCTTGTGCCCCACTTGGCAGAGAGGAGACAATGAAGTGTAAGACTTGGTCCTCGCTCTCCAGAAGCTCCTTGAGAAACCAAGACCCCCTGATATGCTCCCACGCTATAAACCCCCACGCACCTAGGCTTCCGCTTGGGAGTTCTCAGGGGCAGATGCAAGGTTTGATACAGTAAGAGCTCTGAGGAGCAAGGGCTCCGGCTGATTATAGAGGGCGGTGGGATGCCTGAGGTGCACAGACGGAAGACTGGAAGAGAAAGTGTAGCCCTGAACTGTGGGCTAAGAAAGGGCTTTATTGTCAACAAATAAATTGTGAGACTATGAGAGAGAGGAGAGGAGAGGAGGAGAGAGAGGGAAGGGTCCGGAAGGGTGGTCTGTAGTTCATAAAAGACACATCGAGCAATCCTGATGTGCACAATGAACCTGGGTCCTGATTCAAACGGTGAAATTATGACCTTTATGACAATTGGAAATTTGAGCACTGATTATTGATATCAAGGAATCATTTCTGACTTAGGGGTGATTATGGCACTGTGATTATTTTTAGAGTTGCCCCCCTTTAGAGAAGGGGTATATACGAGACAGATGGCCAGAAGATGACCATGCTGGAGCAGGGTGATGAGGACGTGAGGTTCAGTAGACTCCTCTCCCCATTCTTGCATATGTGTGAACACCTTCTCAATAAAATGTTTTTTTAAATCGACTCTTACACTGGGTCTGGGGAGCCAGGGAAAGGTCCTGAGTGGGGGGACAGAGTCAGAATGATGCTTTGTGAAGATTAATGCAGCACCTCAGGAGGACTGAGGGTGGGGAGGCAGATAAAAAGCTCAAGGAACAGCTGGGAGAGGAGGAGAAGCCCATCGAGGGCAGCGGCCACAGGAACAGACAGGAGACATCTTTAAAAAGAAGGAACAATGCAACACAGTGGTGAGGTCACTGGCAAAGAGCAGAGGCAAGAGGGCAGAGACAGGAAGGCCAGGGAGGCAGTGGGCTGGGAGGGGGGATGGCGCGAGGGCTGAGCTGCAGGGAAAGGGCAGCATCCCCCAAGTGCATCCAGGGGACTCACACTGCAGGCTGGAGGCCCCCGAAGGCTCCAGAAGGCTCCGTGGGGAGGTGGGAGGAGTGTGGACAGGCAGAGGGGAGAGGGAGGAGGGAGAAGAGCCGGAGTGGAACGTGGTTTGCAAGAAGGGTGTGTGTGGACCGAACTAGGGAGGCGCTTAGCAAGTTAGGGCGACAGGGAAATGGTGTAGGTTATTTTTTAATTGTTCAAAATTTATTTAAAATTTCCTTCAAACAGGCTTTTTCTATCCATCTGTCACCAGATAATGTGGGCAAACGTCAACAGCCTATTTGGAAATGGAATACAGTGTTGGTTTATATTCTTGAAATGTAAAAGGGTAATACAATTTACTGGCAAACATTAAAAACAAACACTGAATGACCAGGGTTTAATTTTCAAATCCTTAAGGCCCAAGTGTTTGCCTTTGTGTTGTGTGCTTTCCCCGCTGGCAACTCTGAGAGCAGTTCCTCCTAACCTCAGTTCCCAGCGCCCCGGGGGGCTGTGGCGGTGAGGCCTGAGTGAGGAGGTGAGATTCAGGCAACCAGGAGCCCAACTGTAGCAGGGGCTCTGGA